TAATAACAGACTTCTCGTTTTTTCCGGACTCGTTATAAGTGGACTCCACTGTATATATATATATATACAGTCAAACCTGTGTAAGACGGCCACCCATTGTCAAGTAGAAAAGTGGCCGTATACGACAGGTGGCCATCTTAGGCAGGACTGATCAAGATAAAGGAAACAAACCATTCCCATCTGAGGCCCCAATCGAAAGTAACCCCATTGTTGTTGTCTTTGTTGGTGTTGGTTTGTATTTTGTTTGTAATTTTTATTTTGTCGCTGATTTTGCACAATGGTGACAATAAAACGAAATGTATCAGACAAGGAAGACCGAGTGCCATGTTAAAACAAACGCATGGGTCGCCACCACTCGGAGAACGAGGGACGCTTTTGTAACAAGTTCATGTTGACGTCCTTTGTTACAGACTGGGTAAACAGTAACCTCTCATCTCACTTACGATTTGTGTATGAGTTCTGGGCAGGGCTTATGGGTTATGAGGGATCACACGCTTACCTCACCAGCAGCTGAAAATTGGTTGCTATTGGTCAACAGTGGGAGGGGCCTACGCAACATAATCGGTTGGAGGGACTACCGATGATTGAATTATGACGGCTCGCCCACAACGCCAGGGGCCAATGCACAATTTATGACAAAACGTAATGAAGTCACTAAGGTGACTGTCTTAGACAGGTATTATTGCTTAGTATGATAGGGGTTGTGTGTTAAATTATTGTGGCCGCGGCTGCGTTGGACAGGTGCCCGTTTTACACAGTTAAATTATATACAGGTGGCCGTCTTATAGAGGTAGCCGTCAGGGCAGGTTCGACTGTATATATATATATATATATATATATATATATATATATATATATATATATATATATATATATATATATATATATATATATATATATATATATATAATCCCCCCCCCCCCCGGTTCAGTCAGTCAAGGAGTGAATCCTCAACTGCAAATACCTACGACGAGATAACGTGTTTTTGGGGGTTTAATAAAAAAAATTAAAAGTGTGAGATGAGTGAGAGAAATGGGACAAGACAAGGAATCGGACAATGACTCGAAAAAGAACGATTTTGGAGAATTTTCTACGTTGAGGGTTGCTCGAGTCTAGTGAAGATTTAGAACCTAGTCAACATAACCCTTGACACCTTTTTCGGTTCAGATATATGGGATCTTTATACAGATCGATGGGGAGACTCTCGTGGTGGAGAAGTTACGGTGTTCGCCTCTCATTCAATTGGTCCCGAGTTCGAATTCGGAGAGTGACGGATAGTTTTCTCTAAAATTTTCTTTCATTTTTTTTTTCTGCTCTCGTCCCACTTTCCATCCCTACCTACCCCTTTACCCGCTCCTCTGAGCTCCTGGCTCTTTCCTCTGCAACTCCTTGGCTTCTTCTCGGATTCAACGAGATGAGATAGATTCCCCGTTTTTCGTCTTCTTTAAAATCAATTTTTAAAAAAAATAACCCGGATTCAACGAGAACTTAAATCAGCGTGCTCGGATTCAACGAGGTTGCTTCCAGGGTGAACAGCCCCTGGGGACGTGGCTTCGCTCATTTTTCTCCCAGAACGAACTTTATATATTCCCGGAAACCATCCTTAGCACCTGCATCGTGAGCCATTATTCACTTAGCCGATTGCATGCGACCAATCAGCGGCCTTTTTCATACCAACACATGCGTTTTTGGCACGCACACGTGTCTACTCTGGCTTGTGTCGGGGTCGGATGGGCGGCCTGCACACGTGTGACTGTGGGTGCGTGTTGGGGACGGGGCGCACTAGCGGTCCGGGCGTTGAATGTCGCAGATACTAACGCGTCAGTCTTTTTTTTCCCCCTCGACAACTGATCATTATTACAATGATAAGCTAGTCTTGACGTAGAACTACTACGTAATGAATTGTGCGCTAGGAATCTAAAGTTGTCGTATGCTAGACTCTTCACAGCAACACAACTTTTTCGTAAACAATCGAGATGACACAGGTGTGTGCATTTGAACGAACCGGTCTTTCTTTACACAGCTCATAATATGCAGGCATTCCAGGCACTACTTGTGACTTCTCTATACTTCTTCCTCGGTGCCTGTAATTATCTACAAAAAAACATAGTGTTTGCTATAACGAACACTCGGATTCAACGAGATTTTAGGTCAGGCCCAGCGACCTCGTTGAATCCTGAGTTCCACTGTAACTGCTGTCTTCTTACAGTCACACCCCTGATCCTATGATGGTAAGTAAAGATCAAACAACACCTGGCCTTCTCGGATAAGGGTGAAACATTTCTGGAGGTCTCATGTGCAAGTTATGCACGCTAAAGACCCTTTGGTGGTCCAAAATTGATCAAAATTTCCTTCCAACTGAAAACGTTTAATATGCGTCCCATGCTCTCATACTCATATATATTCATATGATATGTACTGTGCAGTTGCTAGCGCCGTGCCGTAAAAAACACTCCCCCCCCCCCTCCCATCGATGATTTTCTTACAAAGACAAAGAAGACTAACAATCAAGGAGGATTTCATACTACAGTGGAATCCTGTTAAAACGAGAGGGAGGGGATTGTTGCGGAATACAATGTATTCCTTATACATGTAGTTATAGCAGGATTCTCGTTATAAGAGATCCAGTAATAAATTCAAGGAACAAAATAAAGTAGGCCTAATCTATGATATGAGTTTGGTGTTCTGTTTATTTATTTTTGTTACTTCCTCTGATGTTGACTTAGTTCAAAATGACCTCTAGGTCTTTTACTTGATCAAAAATCGAATTAAGTTTCTTTCTCTAGCGCTGGCGAAGTTGACAGCTCGGCATTGGCGATCAGAAAGAAAGGGCACTACTAGGCTAACTCGCCCGCTGTGTTGCCCCTCACTCACCCCACCACACCCTGCGATGCGTTCCGTTTGCTTGCCATTGGGTACGCCTGGTCCACATCACACATTCGATCCATCCATCACATCACTGTGACCTCTCCCTCCACGCATCGGAGAAGTGAGAGACATTGTAGGCCTAGATAGATAATCTAGACTAGGCTGGCCTAGATCTATCAGTACTATTATTACTATTCACTATCACACGATGTATTCAGCGTGTCTGCGCACGCCACTGTCCACATCATTCGCTCTGGTCTTCATTGTTGGCACACATGGGCTATCCCATTCTTTGTTTCGCTAGATCATCAACAATTGTCTCAACTGGCAAGGTTTTTCATTATTAGCCTATAAAGCAATGTGCACACCAGCAGCACTATTCCGCTAGTATTGTAGTATAACCAACTCGTGTGTTTGTCTGGTTGCGCTATAGCAGAAGTTTTTTAACAAAGATAAAGAAGGGGGAAAACAGGGTTTTAGAATAGTGTCTTTATAACGGACTTCTTGTTTCAGAACTCGTTATAATAACTTATAAGTGGACTCCACTGTACTGGTATACTCTTTTGGTTTACCACTGTTTTCGGACCAAACGAAAGTGGACTCTACTGTACAAGTACAAGTACATGTGGTGGAGTGTAAGGACACTCTTGAAAAACACTTGTCAGTGGACTTGACAACACCTTTTCCCTCCATTGTTTAACACAATTTAGATCAATCAGGAGGTGGGCCGCTTCAACTGTCTTCCATACCATCACTGAATACCAAATCCTTCAGAAACAATAGCAGCACCAAAACACCAATGAACCAAGCCTATATCTTTGCATTCCGCCCATATCTCATGGACCAAGTGGACATCCCCACAGCCTGCAATCTTATTGAATTGTGAAGGTGTAATGAGAAAGAAAGAAATTGCTCCATACATGTCCATAGACAAAACACTACTACAGACAACTCCACTTGTGCTGAACTCGCTTGAGTTAATCTTTTTCTCAGATCAGAGCACCTCTTCTTTCAGGTTTCAAAAGTTAAGTTGAAGTATAGATGATAGATGAATTGGAAATTTTGGACCCCCCCAATCAACTCATCTGTGGTCGACTGTAGGCCTACAGCATATTTCTAAAAGAATTCCATTTGATTAGTTTTGGTCTTGAACTTTTCATGTACAGTAGTCTCCGCCTAAGATCCCGGTGCTCCGGAGCAAGGAAATGCGGGATCTTAGCCGACGAACCCTTTGAAGAATCCACGATGACCCATGTTAAGGCTCACAATCGGTAAAATGGTCTCCCTCCACTCTAAATTGAACTGACGTGAAACCTTGGTGGGTTTATGACATATGGTGAGCAAAGAGTGGTTAACCTTGACCTATCACAGTGCATAGTGGCATGCCATTTTCACTTATTATCCTTTCGTGAGTCTCAAGATCTACGTTTAACTAGTTGCCCCTCCCCTTTACCTGTCGAAAACTTATAGCTTTCCATCTCTGACTGAGTTCGCCCCTCCCCAACAGCCTTTGTCGTTACACACCAATTAAAATTCAGCCTGTCTCGCAAATTTGGGAGTAGAGACAACTGCTGCAATGGTCAAGGAGAGTTCACAGTTCGATGTGATCGCGCCTGGAGCGAACATGAAGGCCCTACCCACCCTGCGAGTGATGTAAGTTTAGGGGGAGAGCTCAGGTGTGAGTGCGATGTGTGGGGAAAATAAACTAGTCAGTCAGTTCACACCTCGGTGTGATCCCGTCTGGGGCAAACATTGTATCGCTTCATCGAGTTTTACGTGTATGTGATCACATTGACGATAGTGACTGATCTTTGACGCTACGGACAGTTCATTGATCTCAACTTTTCACACTTGGTTGATCGGCTGTGCCCGCCCGCGTTTTTGTTCCGCAAATTATGATCCAAAATTCGGGATCTTAGGGGTGACTTTTGTATAGTAAAAATTCTGTTTTCTTAAAACAGCGGGATCTTAAGTGAACCGGGATCGTAAGCGGTGGGATCTTAGGCGGAGACTACTGTACTGATATAAAACAACATAACTGAAATTAATGGTGCTCCATAAAGTTTAACACCAAAACCTGCACAAAGCAAAAAATATCACACAGCACACATAAATAAATACAAAAAGGAAAATTCTATTGTATTCTTTTATTTATCATCAATGAAGAACTAGGCTTCAAAAATACACAATCAAAAGAGAGATGCCGATATCTTTATAATACAATGAGGAATCATGAAATGACAATAGTTGTTCTAACAAAAAATACCAAAGCATATAATACAATATCATCAGCTCATCACGGACAACAGCCATTGCAAAACCTAGAGAAACATGGTATGAAAGAAGTGCAGAGGGTTTAAAAGTTGCCCACAGAGTTACATTCATGATTCAACACCATTCATCTCTGCTAAAGCAATGTCGTGACTTATTCTCTTACTTCCACAAACTGAGGAAAAGATGGCTTCCAACAAAGACTAAATTAAATGCTTCCCACTCGAATTAAAGGCCGAGATAATCGACGAAGCTGACAAGAAAAGAAAGACTAATCTAAAGAGCAAATTTTATTGATATGGAAGGGATGTAATCATGTGGATGCTTAGAAATTTTTCGGTAATTTCCCATTTGCATTCCAATAGCGGGAACTCGCCTACAGTGGGATTTTTCTTCTGGAACCTAAAGTCACGCTATAGCCATGTTCTATTGTATTTGGATTATCTTCAAATTTATCGCCCACACACAAAAAATATCACTTGGTCATCATCCCTCGGGGACAAAAAAAGTGAGCCATGTTAATGCTCATTTTTGTGCCCAGAGGCAAATACATGTATGGGTCTGTCCTGTAACCGTTTAAGATCAATGAGTAAAGTAGAAACACTACATAATACAGAAACAATTATATGCGACAAAATTTAAGCAATATATGAACAGCCAGAAACAAACAATCGGATCACAAATTATACATATTATTTCACTCTGAAGAGCATTTTCCTCTGCATGCGATGCTGAATCTCTCCTCTGCGAAGCATCAGTGACAGAACTTTTGTGACTGCTCTCTCTGGGTATTTCTGGAAAGAAAATAAACATCTAACAATCACTCTCTCAAACTCTTCACCCTCTGAAGCCCTCTTAACGCAGTTTTTAAATTTATGCCCCATAATTTTGATAATTTAGCAGGTGAGCTTCCGCCCTGCTTGTCAGGAGAAACTCTGGGTCAGCAGCAGAAAAAGATACTACAAAAAAATTCTCGCGAATTGGGAATTGAACTCGGGTCTTCTGCCTGTGTGAGCTATGAACTAAAACCCCTACACCACAGACGCCAGTGATTTTATTACACACAATAGGTACAACACCAGCAGTACAATATAAGGGGAACTAGCACTATGAAAGCAGATCAGCGTAGGTACCCCAAACCCCCCGCCTCTGCCAAGTTGAAAGCGTGTAGGAAGCTCAAAATTTGACCATTTTGAATCATCCATAACTCATCTCCTTTGACACCAATCTTCACACCGTTTTGAACTAAGTCAGTTCAACCATTGTATTTAGCTAAAATCAAACTATTGTGGACGGCAAAGAAAGATATTGTTTAGTAAGCTATCTTAAAAGGTCACCAAAATGCCCGGGAATGCATTTTTCGCATCTATTTTCATGCCAGCCGTGGCGACAAAAACTGAGGGCGCTTCATAGTGCTTTCGAGCTAAGCGGCTATAACTGCTATCGCCACGAAACAAAGAGTGCAAGAATGAGCTTTCACACGGTGCCTAGCGCTTGTTGCTTAAGTTAGATGTTGACCCAGAAATATTGGGAGTTTCGGAATCTATTTTTAGAATGGAAATCTCCAAGTCTGACCAACGATTGGTCGAAAGAACCCTGGATTACACAAAAGTAGAACATGTCAAGGGAATCGTGCGCAAAAATGACTCCGATTGGTCCAACAGCCGTTTAGTGCCGTTTGTTTTTGTAAACACACATGCTTGTCCTCTCTCAGGCGACACGCTTGATTCAGCAATGGCGAAGAATTATTTACGTGCCCCTATTTTCGCTTACGCTCTATTCACGTACATAAGTGCATTTCAAAGGCTGCATTGTGCCTCCAATCATGGATATGGATATTCTGGAGATGTACGTTAAGTTGATTTTCTTAATTAGATTGTTATAGTGTTACATGGTTCTTCATAAAGTCATCAATCTTTGCCTGACCTAGATCTAGGGCTGGAAGCCGAGATTGCAAACATGCGAACGGGTGGTCTCATTCAGTGCGTCCTGTAATTAATTCAGTACACAGTATTGTTGTAAATCTGGTTTGGATACAAAAAGAAGCTTAAATTTCTTGAAAATATGGTGAAATCTTAATCAATTTGATATTAGTTATTCAAAATTAGTGTTATCTTCTGGTAACGTGACCATTTCTTTCTACCAATGACTCCGTAATGGTAACCTCTTTTTAAAGAACATAACAAGCTTGATGAACTCGTCTGTGAAGGGGGTGCAGCTGGCATTTGTTTATTGATGAATGAATAAATTCTCTTGAATATCGCAAATATCTGACAAAATCTTTGATAACTAATTCATAGAATTGTTTTCTTTTTGCCACTATCTATATCGACTCATGAAACAAGTACCGGCACAAATTGAATTATTTTTTATACATAACTTTTAGAGGCTGGTTTACTGCTGAAAATGGACTCTCCTACTTAAGAGCCTCATTCATCATAATTCGTGATTTTCAAATAAGTTGGTACCGTTAGAATTGCTAGATCCATTCCTGAATAGAACCATTAAAAAAAAAAAAAGATTAATGAGCCATGGGGAATTTGAACTTTGTTGCAGATCTAACTTGTGTCTCCTCCACCCTCTCCCCAAAATTATTGTCCTGGCCCTTGACTTGAAAATGGGCTCTGCCCGTGCGTGAGCTTCTGCCCATTTTATATTTTTTGAGAAAAAAAAATAAGTTTTGAAACAAAAATGGGCTCTGCTCGGGTGGGAGCTTCTGCCCAATTTTATATTTTTGAGGAAAAAAAATCGATTTGAGATTCTTCCCAATTAAAAAAAAAGTAATTAGAATTGAGGAGTTTTTGTGTGTGTTAGTGTATCTGATCTGTCATTGTTGAATATTTACTTTATTAATGCCTCATTTTTATCAAAGATTTGATTGCAGAAATGGATTCCCGGCCCAAAAACACAGAGGAGTAAAGCTTTAGGGAGTCTTTCTTCTTGTTCTGTAGAAGTTATAGATGATTTTGTAGAAATTATGCTGAATAATTTCTTATTTTTTCTCTTATCTAACCTCATATCATTGTAATGCTTCATGTTATCACAAATGGATTCCTGGCCCAAAAATACATTGGCATGGAAAGTTTCATACATTTACAATGTTTTTTTTTGTGATTTTATTCAGAAAAATCTTCAGGCCATATGTACCGTGTTGTGATTTTCTGTTTATAGCGCAAAATTGGCAGATGTCCCATTTTTGTGGTTGCATAACTGATTAAATTGAAGTGCCAGAAGTCTGAAAAAAATATGGGCTATGAATTTGAATTACTGTGAATATGTTCTGCGAGTGTCATTTCTTTAAAGCAATAACTCCATTTTATTGATGTCTGAAATCAGTCTATTTAGCATTTTTGAATTAACATTATGCAGTAATTTTCCCCCCAATTTTAAGTCTCTGTATTGGCTTTATTTAAACTCTGATTGTCCTCTACACACTTTATGTACCTCAATAAATTTTCTGTGAACTCACAAAATCGCACTTTTTTAAACGTGATTTTAAAGTTGCCAAAAATTTACGTCCACGAATTTCAAACGCCTGTCATTTTTTAAATTAATTGTCAAATTTCTATAATTCAAACACCAAAGTTCATGGGTTGCATAGTTCTTTATGATGCAACAAACACATATTGGATCAAAGCACTTTGAAATTTTGGTTTGTGGTACCTAATCAGTAGTAAAGGACAAAGTTTATTTATGGGGACTGAATTACAATGAACTGCTCTGTTCACATAAAACTACACACTTACAAATATTACAGCTGTGAGTTAAGGTAGGTCTTTATTTTTTTTTAATCCACAAATTCACTGGGAAAAAATATTATTTAAAAGATGCAGCCCTATAGCTTTTACATCGAAACAAACTTGCAGAAGGCAGTTACAAAGACTTGGTCCCAGAGTCTGTACCATCATATTCTATTTTAACTCAACAGCCGGTCTAGCGCTCCGTATGGGATGCGCACCAGCCACTTTGTGTCCAGCCTTTGACCCTTAGCACATGAATACCTGCTCTCTGGGAAGGAGATACCAGTAGCAACTATTTTGTGTTCTTTGCTGTGGATTATTTTTTTGTGCGTGCATTCCCCTGCTTCTTGTTTCCGAAACTGATTCGGTAATGTACAAAACAGTTTTTCATAAATTTCTTGTGTTATAATATTTGTTATCTTACTCGTCGACATTATTACCACAGCACATGGCCATGACCCATAGTCTCGATCCCTATTTGGATGAGGATAAGATTCTTGTGGAGACGGGATTGCTTCTGAACCTTCCATGAACCAAGGCAGTGAACAAAACCATACAACTTTCCCCTCCTCTACTCAGTCAGACAATGATTTAATCAAAAAATGCCCTTAAAAGGAACATGGAGGCAATGGAAACATTGAACTGACCTGACCATCAATGATTTATTTATAGAGGCACCAGCCATCCATGTTGGAAGCATTGCTGAGGTTAACGAGTGCAAAAAATAAAAGGAAAAAGAAAAAATATGTCTCTACATCTTCAGGTGACTAAAAAGTTTACCTGTTTTGTGAAGTCTTGGATGATAGCATGCTCAGATACTTGAGAACCGATGACAAATCTGCGCTTGACCTGCTTCTCAATTCTGCCAAGCAGTTCCCGATCCTCCTCAGTTGTGAAGCCTTCCGCTCCTGCGAAACAAACAAAAAAATTAACGCAAAAGCTTAATTTATGTGGTAATCTCAACAGATCTATGATCATATAACGAAGAGCCAAGCCCACCGTTACATCAGATAATTGTATGGAATATAAAAACCTAACAGAAAAAGCTTAATAATATTTCATACTACTTCCACTTAAGAATTCCCTGGGCGTAGCTCAATATATTGGAGTGCAGGGTGAACATTTAGCAATATACCCAAAGGGTTAACTCAACTACATCACCATCTATTTAACTAACCCGACCAACCACCCATCCTTATACGGAGGTTTCAAATTTAAAAAATAGAGTAGTGGAATTCTGTTATAACGAGATGGAGGGGACTGGTGTGAAATGTCCGTTATAGCGGGATTCTTGTTAAAGGGATCCAGCAATAAATTCAAGTAGGCCTAATCTATGAGTTTAGTGTTCTGTTCTTTCATTTTGTTATCTCCCCTGATGATTATTTTATTTAACATGACCGTTAGGTCTTACTTGATCTAAAAAATCGAACCAGGTTTCTTTCTCTAGCGCTAGCGATGTTGACAGTTCGACATTGGCAACCAGAAAGAAAGGGCTCTTGGCTAATTCGCCCGCTGTGCCCCCCCCAAAAAAAACTGCGGTGCGCTCCGTCTGCTTGTGCACAATAGGTACACACCACACATTAGCTCCATCAGTCACGGCACTGTGACCTCTCCATCCCCGCATCAGAGAAGTGAGAGACATGGTAGGCCTAGATAATTGAGACTTCGCTGGCCTATCACGCGATGCATTCTGCTTGTCTGCAGATGCCACACCCTCCCCATTCATTCCTTCTGGCCTGTATAATTGGCATATGCGCTGTGCACAGCAACATTCCGCTATAACTGACTCGTGTGATTGATTGCATTATAGCAGTATTCTATTTACAAAGATAAAAAATGGAAAAAAATGGGATGTTAGTATAGTGTCTTTATAACAGACTTTTCGTTATTCCAGGACCCGTTTGAAGTGGACTCCACTGTATTTAACCGTCTTAGCGCAAAGCCATTTTCACCATTACTTCCCCCCAGTGCTAGGTTTATTTTAGAAAAATGCTAATTTTCAACATAATCTGTGTCTAAATGAGCTGACGAATCCGACATTTTGAAAAAGGTAAACAATATCCCAGAAAATTGCTGATAAAACACTCCCAACCGATCCCCGACTGCGAAATGCACTAATAAATGTTGCACTGGTGTAATGTAGTCACCAGCAGTTTAAAAAATGGCTATTATCATGCCAACGGTATAGTTTCTACTCTCATGTCGGATCACGACTCATGGTCGTGATACGCACGCAGAGGGTTAAAAGCTTATATTTTTTGTCATTAAATGGCAGATACATAATAAACCCACCTGCAAGATTGCCAGAAGTAGCAGCATCAAGTGTAGACACTTGAAACAACCTCAATGCCTCGTCGACATCAGCATCTGTGGCAAATGGTGAAAGCCTCATTTTGGCTTGAGATTCAGCAATCCTGATAATGGCTTCCAGTTGTCTGAAAAGAAATGTAAGCAACAACATACTTTTATTTATCAATTTTTTTTTTTAAAGAAAGAAGATACCAACTCTCTTCCCTTAAAAAACAAAAACAGTACTTAAAACTGAGTGGCTAGTGTTTTGCTACACAAACGAATTCTATCGATTAGCATGATGCTTTTAGCCCGTGGGGATTTCTGCGACCTTGGGGGACTAACATTTTTTGGAAAGAATCTGAGCAAAAACATGCATGCAGCGACTGAGAAGTTTCTTACATAATATGGATTTGAATAGAGAGCAATATAAAAAGACATTTTTCTTCAAAAACACGAAAAAAAGAAAGAAGAGTAGAGCAGCAACAAGTGACACCAGGAATTGACGTGCAAATCTCCTAACATTAAGTTAGGCCAGACGATGAAGGGGAACATATGAGAAAGGTGATCTCAAATATCCTTACAATCTGAACGATGCAAACAAACAAACTGACACTGCCAGTTTAAAAACCAATAAGCCAAAAGAGATGTCACATGTCAGAACCCAAAAGTTGCAAATTTTTAGAAAAACTAGAACAGCTTACAAAGCCCCGCTGAATAATCTAAAGTTAATTGTTTAATAATAATAAATAAACTAAAAAACAAAACAAATATTTCTGCACTGGTGAATTAAAAGTATGGTATACACTCAATGAAAATCAGGCCCTTTATTAAGATCAGCAGAAATTCTGGGGAGACTTAACTGATCCTTTGACATGGCACACTGTTATGGGCTAGCAGGTCTGGAAATTAGACTCTTGATGCAAATCAATTATGAAACATGTTAAAAAGGCGGGGTAGGAGGAAGGGAAAGAAAGCCCAAGGATCCAAGTGTGCTTCAGTATCATATTTTAAAAAATCTCTGCTCTGTTCACCAAAAACAATCTACTCACCTCACAGTAATGGGAATGCTGATCCTTTTCCCCGTTTCACGTTCATATTCGCTGGCGCTGTTCCTCATAAGTACATATCTGTTCTTGAGTTTCTCTGCTGCTTCCTCAGACAAACGAGGTCCACATTTGCTGAAGAAAGGAAAAACAAAAAATGTATAACAATAATAAAAACAACAAAAACAAAAAAACCTTGATATAAAACAACGCAGAAGAAAGATGTCAAACGAATACAATATACAACAAATGAAAAGAGAAAACCACTCAACAATAACCAAACAAACTTGAATATGCAACCTTCCTTTACAAGCAGTACAACACATTAATAGGAAAAAGCATAACCTGACAAAAGAGAAAATCAACAGAGGCTCCCATTACCAACTATCACTGTATTTGTGCAAAGAGAGCAATAATGGAACTGATCTAGGTAAGCTAACCCAATCAAATAAAACTGACCACAACATCAAACCAAAATCAAGTGTTACTTTGATTATGATCACAAAAGAAGAGCACACCTTTTGCAGTAAGCAATATATTTCTTGAGGGTATTTAGAGGAATTTCTCCTTCTTTCGCCTCCTCTGTAGTTTGCAAAGCATTCAAATGGACATTCATGACGTGCTTGGCTAAAGTCTGTGGGAAGAAACAATTGAGCAATGGGTAATCTAAAAGTTGAGCAGACCAATAAAAATGGGCTTGACATTAAGCAGTTTAAAAAGAACTCAACATGAGGAGTCTTACTGATGATGTACAGCAGAGGGGAGGGAGGGAGAGAGAGAGAGAGAGGGAGAGAGAGAGAGAAAGAGGGAGGGAGGGAGAGAGGGAGAGAGAGAGAGAGAGA